ATATATATATATATATATATATATATATATATATATTTATTTATTTATTTTTGGCTTGTGTGTTAATATTTTGATATTTTTTAATTTCCTTTTTCCACAAGGAATTAATTATATGTGAATAGGCCTAAGTGGAAACTTAATATTATTTTCTCCTTGTTGCTTTTGGATTTGTAGAGTTTTCCCTTATTTGAACATAAGATTGCAAATATCCCTATAAATTAAAGACATACTTGTTCTCTTCAATTCACACTTTGTTTTCTACACATTCATGATGAAGGACACACTGAACATGGAGGGTTCAACAAAAAGAGAAACGAGAGAAAACCCGAACTCATTCGTCTCAATCGTCCTTGCTCTTGCTGCTCCCAACGCGACCAGTCTTCCACACACCAAAAATGGCACCAAACGCACCCTTTCATTCACCAAAGCGCAAAGTAATTGCAGCCGTAGAGCAAAATTACTCTTGCGACCCAACCCCAACCGAAAGAGAAACAAGAAGCAGCCCCGCCACAACAACATGAAGGAGAACGAGAACACGAAGACAAACACAAACAAGAACAAGAACAAGAACTTGAAGACGAACACGAACATGAACGCAAAAAGAAACGTTGAAGAAGGTGATTCGCATCCATGTTTTGGGACCCCAATGCCATTGATGAGTCTTCTAGCAACAAAGAAAACAACCTATAAGAGGAGTTGATAATAATCTCAATGTTTTTTTAAAATTTTAATTTTAATTATATGAAAATTTTTAGTAGAATGATTTTATTTACATATTAGCCTCTAGACTTGCGGTCACGCTTGTGTTGATTGTTTTTAATTTTTTTTAATTTTTATTTTATCATTATTTATAGAGAATTTTGTTGGGACATTGGTTCATATTTCAATTTTTATTTTCTAATTATTTGAATTTGAATTGAACTATTGTTTTGCGTATTTGTCATTTTGAAGCAATTATTTGAAATTTTAATTATAATAAATCTTAGATGATAAGAATAAATAATACACAATAAAAGAAAGTATACAATTTCTGCTAAAAACACAAATTGAAAGCAAAAAGTAAAGTTCTAAGTGTGTTTTGAAAGAAATAAATAGTTTGATTTTTTTTACCAGAAGAAAGAAAAAATAAAGTTTGATTTTCAATAGCTTGGGTCAAAAGTCGAAAGTCCAAAAAAGGAATGGGCTTTGCTGAATAAGAGTAAAATTATTGTCAAGGACCTATGAGTGCAGCCCAAATCTGATCACATCCAACTATGGTCGTCACCTGAGTCATCCTATACCAAGGCCCTTAGGCCATCTTCAGTTATAGGGCTAAATGTAGTCCAGGGCTAAAAATTTAGCCCCCCAAAATATTAATTTTTTAAAGAATAGTGCAGGGCTAAATTTTTCCATCTCCAGCCATGCAGTGCTATATTTTAAGGTCCTTCATATTTTATTATTTTAGATTTTTAAATTTTTAAAAGAAATAATAATAAAGCCATCAAAGGCAATTAACAAAAATAAAATATTGGAAGGGTTCAAGGGTCTGACCTCCAACGGTCATGACCCAGAATTTTTTATAATTTTTTTAAACAACAAAACATTTAAAAACGTGAAGACATAAATAAATTTTTTTTTAAAAAAAGAAAAGGAAAGGATGGGATTCAATGTTTGAGCTCAACGGTTATGAACAAAGACTTTTTTATTATTATTTTTAAACAACACTTGAAAAGATGGCAAAAGCTGACCACATTTATTTATTTATTTTTTTTAAGGAAAGGATGAGATTCAATGTTTGAGTTCAACGGTTATGAACAAAGACTCTTTTATTATCTTTTTAAACAACACTTGAAAAGATGCAAAAGCTGACCACATTTATTATTTTATAAAAAAAAAGAAAATAAAAAAAAAAGGGAGTGAGTAGGTATGGATTCCAACGGTCATTGCCAACAAGAAACATTCAAATAGCTTTTAAAACTCTATATATATCCAGCTTTTAATAAGGCAAGTTGGGGAGTGCTTTAATATTTGGTGATTGAAAAGCACATGGTGGGGTCTACTATGAATTTGGCTTAGGCCAAAGCTGGGCTACATTTGGCCCGGTTGGAGGGCTAAAGGACCAAATGTGGCCCTCCAAATTTGGCCCTCCAAATTTGGCCAAAATTTTATTTAGCCCATGACTAGAGATGGGTTTTGCATTAATTTTAGTCTATATTTGGGATATAGCCATCTCCAGCCATAGGACTAAATGTAGTCCTAGGCTAAAAATTTAGCCCCCCAAAATATTAATTTTTTAAAGAATAGTGCAGGGCTAAATTTTTCCATCTCCAGCCATGCAGGGCTATATTTTAGGGTCCTTCATATTTTATTATTTTGGTAAAAACTATGGTACAACACTCATACATTCCACAGCTATATATTGTTTAATTTAATTAAACTACTGTTTAATATATTGTTTATAATTTTTTTTTAAACAACACTTGAAAAGATTTGAAAAGCTAACCATATTTATTATTAATTTTTTTTTTTAAAAAGGGAGTGGTTAGGTCCAACGGTCATTTTAAAAATCTGACTACAAATTTGAAAAGCTGACTATTTTTATTATTTTAAAAATCTATATAGATCCAGCAGATGTAGCGTCCTATGGATAGATGGCAGTTGAAAAGCAGATTATGGGTCCCACTACAAATTTGGCCCATTCCTAAAGCTGGGCTACATATGGCTTGGTTGGAGGGCTAAAGGGCCAAATGCGGCCCTCCAAATTTGGCCAAAATTTTGTTTAGCCCATGACTGGAGATGGTTTTGGTATTAATTGAGGGCTATATTTAGGAAATAGACCATGACTGGAGATGGCCTTAGTGCCCTATTTCTTAATCATTGGATCAAATTGGTTAGTTTGATTCAAGTATTAATTTTACCGAACCGCCCCCGCAAATAGCTCTTTCGCAAATTCATGATGTTCAAAAGCTTCTGGACCAGTTTGAAGCGGGAGGCTAAAGGATAGATAATGCTTAAGCTAATTTAGGACATAACTCCTGTCATTCTTGTGTATGGCTTTCTAATTTTTCTTATTTTTTGTATGTATCTAGATTTTCTGTTGTAATTTGTTTTCTTGATAAACAAATTATCACATACGTTTAGTCTTGCCCCCAATGACTACAACAGTGAATATAGTGTCAATGAGTTTTTAATTTTTTTTTTTCTTCTAGAACAAGGAGGAAAACATAATCGATGCAAAATCTCATCCAAGGAATAGCAACTACATCTGCAACAATCATGGCCTCACAAACACACATGCCCAATCTTAACCTCAACTAGTCCAACAAGATGATAGATGTCCTGAGTGATTCGTGTCCTGACAGGCATCAAGGCCTATCTCCGGCTCAAATTCTTAATCTCTACATTTAGATAGTGTGAATTTACCCGTATTTCATTACATTTAGACAATAATAATAATTTAACGACCTAAAACATGACACGTCAAACTCCTAATGTCTTTGAGCGCAAGATTATTAGAATGTCTTTGAGTCCCAGGCCACTTTTCTCTCAACTAAAGCCAAGTTGCATACCAAGGGCCCCCCGGAAGGAGAAGGAAGAGGCTGTAAAACAACCAGGTCCCTTAGGCCTCCATCCTGCCATTCCCCTCAAGCGACTGTACACTCATCGTCACCATTTTCACTATCCAAGTCTTTTCAGCTATATAAGATTTGACATTAGAGTCATCTCGATCAAGTGGTTTTCAATTAACCAGAATCAATTTTCTGCATAAGCTGATTTCCAGTCTTTCGGAAGCTTTGATTTTGAGCTTGTTGTGCCTGTAGATATTTTCAGATTTTGTGGTAGGCAAAAAATTTCTTTTCCACTTTTGTATTCAACAAGCACGATGATGTAAATGCAACCATGAACATTGAGGGGAGAGGGGGGCCTTTTTCACAGAAAAGATAAGCACGGAATGAGACAGTATGAACAGTATATCTGCCTGGATAACGGAATATAACACAGAGAGAGAGAGAGAGTATTGTTTTTCAACTCCTGTTTTCTTTTTCATTTCATAAAATTCATCATGTACTTTCATATGGAAAAGCCGCAAAGGTTGCAGGTTGAAGCAGAACCACTGAAACAAGCACACCATAGGACTGATAGCATAACTAAATCAACCCTGGTATAACCAAAGAACTTAAAAGACAAAACAAATTGTGGAGGGCTTCACTAACAATATCCACTGAGGGGCATGATGAAGGTTGCATACCCTAGACCAAATGCTGATCCTGCATGAGTACAAAAACAGTGGTTTACTCTTCAAGACCCGGTTCCATTGTCTGGACTGGTGGGGCTGTAACTACGGCCAGACTCAGGTCAGGAGAGACAGAATCAGCAGATTTTTCTCGGATCTCCCTGTACTCTTGACAAATGGCACACAAATGGCAGAAAAAATGAGTGACAAAGTCTCCACATGGTGCTTCCTACAAAATGAAATCACAAGAAATGATAAGCCCTAGTGAAGCCACAAAACTCGACTTAAGAAGTTGTCCCACAAAGTTTGTAATCCGTGACCTTTCCCCCCAAATTACTTTGAAGTTATACAATAAACTATTCATAAATCCCACATTGGGAATTTGAAGCCTTGCATGACAATATAAAAATGAAGAGGCTTGTATATTGTCATGCAAGGCCACGAATTGCCAATTGCCAATTGGGTTAAGATGCCTTTGATTGCGACTCAGGCCCAACATGTCACCCAATAAATATCACATCTTTGGAAATCATTTTCTGTAACCTCTAATGAAACTGAAACAGAATTGGCCATCAAAGGCAACCCAAGCTAATTGAAATGGGATTATAGCTTAAAGGAAAAGAGCAAAAAAAAAAAAAAAAAAGGGAGAGTTCTTCTAATAAAGAAAAGAACAAGCATGTATAAAATATATTCACTTTTTTATATTTCTAAAGGGCCACTTATTTGGGATTTCTCAAACCCTCAAGCATATACAAAATCAATTTTTTCACTATTAACAATCTATAGCCTGGAAAACTGATAAACAATGCTATACCTGAAGATTATACTTTGATCTTAGGGTCCTGCGGTAGCCACAAGCATAACATGCAACAAAGCATCCCGGTACTCCCAAAACAAGACCCTCAGTCAATAAGCAGCAGACGGTATTAACGAGTACCCACAAAATAAAATGAGTCATGCATGATCCTATGAATGTCCCAGAACCCAGAAATTCTGCATTCTTTCCGAATAAAAAGCAAGGAAAAAATAGACCTATACAACCTGTACAAAACAAAAATAAGCAATTAGATGATCATTGTTGGCTTGGGGTCACAGTGATATTTGTGTAACTGACCAAAATTCAAATGTTGCTCCTGAGTATTATGCGTTATCATGATAAACGAAAAGAAACAAGTCATATTATACTCAGTCCACCTAATTCCCATTTTCTTCACTACTAACAACACCAACTATTTACCAACAGCCAATGCTTTATCTCACATCAGACCGGATTTCATGTCTTCAAAATCAGATTTAAATTACTTAAGATGTGAATCTTATAAATAATATTTACCCAAATTTATCTCCAAAAATTCAAGGGGTTTGCTTTTATAAATGTATTAATAAATAAAAATTGGGAGACCAACTCTTTTTTCGTAACTTTATGGTCCCTACAGTATTGGTGGGTGATGGTAATTATGGGTGCCATGGTAATCAAGGGAAAGACTGCAAGAGAAATTACTCATCGGACACAAGGAAATGGTTAGCCGAATCTTACAGGTTTTCAGAGCTAGCAACACTGGAATGTTAGAAATAAACGAGAAACATTTCTCTTATGCATAAACTGCTAAACATGGGGACCAATAAAGAGCTATATCATCCATGATGTTAACTAGCCAATTTAAGGTAGTTTAAATTGGCCCAAACTGGAAACTCAAAATATTGCTGCGTGAATAAGCATGCAAAGCCAAACGATATGCAAAGCTTACTAGCTTATGAGCTACTATATCTTGATATAAAAGTCCAAGCCTTCATTTGGAACTTCTATATTTTATGTAACTTGCATATCGATGATTGAACTATTATGCTTTAACTTGAGTCAGTCGAACCTACAGTTTCTTAAAGCTGCTTCCTTTCTTTGTAATGTCTTCTAAATAATACAAAATGAATACCAGCCACAAATTCAGACACAATAGACGTCCACCACATAATGTAGAGTGCTCAGAGAACGTTAAGCACATAGCAAGCTAAAAGCTAAGCATATATTATTGTATGGTTAGTTAAATAATTGAACTCATATCCTAGACTTTCTAAGAAAGTCCTAAGAAAATGAAGTATGACAAGCACAAGCTAATTTTTTTTTTCCCTAATCAAGAGGCACCTTCATTTTTTTTTCCTTCTGATAAATCAAGGTCACAAGGCAGAAAGTAGCGTACAGCTCTGCATATCGTCACAGCATGCGCAGATTCCAGAAGACCATTGTACAGGCCCATCAACACTGTTTTGCTGCTTGGGGGGGTCTTCATTTCGCAAAACAATTGCCGATTCAGAATCCGACATCCCTAAAGGAATGTACGCCGGTGGGTCATAACTGCTTTGGCTCTTCATCTTTCTCTTGTGACCCAAATGATCTGTACCCAGTAACCCAAAGCATAAACAAGAGAGAAACTGAGTCAATAAATGTGCAAAGAGACCACAATGGCAATCCCATACATCTCAACCAGCAACAAATACTCTTCTATTAAGCATTACCCAATAAGCCCAAAGGGGAAACAAATACAATGCGACATAACATGAGGAACCGTGCCCTCCACAACAAGAGTCTAATGCGAAGATTTACGATTAACAACTACTTCTAAGTGCTAAGATTGAAAACTCTGAGTAACAAATTGAACGCAACCAATAAAATCAAGCAGGGCAGAAAAAAAATCGAATTTCAAACACAAAATTTGAGATTTAGTTCCTGCTTCAAGATAATAAATCAAACTACGCTATGAATAAAAAAAAATACAACACCAACAACGAAGGCAGAAGGGAAACACTATAACAAAGCATTAACAGATGGTTTAACAAATTCTAGTAAAGAAAATTGAAAGCGAAGAACAGCAATGACATTTGAAACCATTAAAAGAAAATTATGAAAAATGGTAAGAAATCGAAGAAACAAAGAATCGAAGAAAGAAAGATCCATACCCGCCTCTTTCTGTCGGTGAGTGAAGAAAATGGTAGCAGAAAAAGTCACCCTTTTCTGTTGCTGAGAAAGAGAAAATAACGAGAGCCATCCGGGCCCGAGTCGACATGGGGCTTGCTTACGTTTGCTTAGATACCCATTTTGGGCCTTGGTTAGACATCGTCACTGATATGCATATCTGGAATTCCCGTTTGCACCCAATCTCTATCGGGAGCTTCTATAGTGAGGGGAAAGTTAGAAGGGGTTTTTTTGAGGGGTATGTTAGAGCCATTGGATTTCATCCAACGGTGAGTTTTTAAAAGAGGGTGCATGTAGAACCGGGTTGAAATCTGACCCGTTGGAAACCCAACTTCAGTTGAAGATATTTCCCTCTCTGAAAAATTCAAGAACACAATCCTCTGTTTTTGAATGTAACGCAAACCCAGAATTAGAAAGATCCAAAGCTCCCAAACCCTATAGTCGCTCCATTGTCATCAGCTCCTTGGGAGGCCTGCGATCTATGGCATCCTCGGTATGACGATTAATGGCTCTTATCTAGCTATTGCCCTGTTTTGATTCTATGGCTGAAGTGAAAACCCCTTCTCTTTTTCGTTCAGCACACGAGATTCCAAATGAAAGCAAAGTAGCATATCTGGTTCTGTAGCTAGACGCCGCAGCAGCATTTGTTCCTCGATTGTGGTAGAGATGGAGTCTCCACTACCAAAGAGTCTTCTCTAATGTCCACCACATTCTCTTAAGCTGATTGACTTCGGAGCTCCCGCTTGAGTTTGAGAGGTAAGTTTACTGTTGCTGGATTGATTTTATTGGGTTTGGTTTGTTTTTTGTGAGGGTGAGAAATTCGTCATTTGTGGCATCAATAATGCGTCATTTCTGCGGTCAATAATGTGTTATTCTGCCGTCAATAATGCGTCAGTTTTCTGTCAATAATGCGTCATTTCCTTATGAATATTCAATATATTTAGTTGATTGTTTTTGGTGGGGGTGGGAAATTATAAAATGTAGGTAAAAGATCCTAAACTTAGGCTTAATGGCATTAGGAGTAAGCATTTGGAGAGGATATTGGGAGAAGTTCTGTAATTGCTGGTTTGAATTACATTTGTGTTCTTAGTTGAACATGTTGGTTCTAATGTTATTTTTTTCCAGATTATTGCACAAGAGATGACGTAACTATTATTAAATTTTGTGTAATAATGGCTCTTACAAACAAGCTAGGCTATGCGTCTTTTTTGTGTCAATTTGGGCAATGTTTTGTGTAAGTGGAATGCATTGATATGTTGTAATACAGTAATGATTGATTAATGAATTAATATTTGCTATGCAGTGATATAAAAGTAGTTCAAAAATATATGTGGGTAAAATGTCTGGGGGCTCAGAGAGTGATGACTGTGTAACAGCTAATGGGATGGTTTACATTCCTGAAGTAAGAAATGAGGAAACACCAACGGTTGGGATGAAGTTCGACTCGCTTGACCTCGCTTATAATTTCTATAACAGATATGCATTCTTGGCTGGCTTTGGTATTCGACTTCATTCCAGCTTTCGGGGGACATATAAGAAAGAGATTCTGAGGAAAGAATTTGTTTGTTGCAAACAAGGTGCATACAGGAAAGATGAAACTCGGGAGAGAAAAAGACAGCGGGGAATAAGTAGATGCAATTGCAAAGCTAAGATTGTGGTTGTGAAGACAAATGGGAGCAAGAAGTATGCCATCTCTCTTTTTGCAGAGGGACACAATCATAAGATGACAGACTCAGAAAGAGTGCATTTATTGAGATCACACCGTCGTATTTCGGATTCTACAAAAGTACTTACAAAACAGTTGGGTTCGGTTAACATCCCCATTCATCAAAAGGTAAGTATTTTCGAGGTGCAATCCGGAGGAATGGATAAAATCGATTTTATCAAAAAGGATATTTACAATCTTGAATGTAGTGTGAATGGGAAGCTGAGGAACCACGATGTTGAACTAGTGACCGAGTATTTTATGGCTGAACAGAAAAAAAAAAATGAGGCTTTTTATTTCAAGATTGAGGGAGATGGCGAAGACAAGTTTAGTCGATGTTTTTGGGCAGATGCAACTTCTAGACGGGCATACCGGTTGTATGGAGATGTTGTTGTATTCGATACCACATTCAACACGAATCGATACGACTTGAAATTTGCACCAATATTGGGAGTTAATAACCATGGTCAGAAAATTGTCTTAGCATGCACATTTTTGAGCAAGGAAACGACTGAGTCGTTTATTTGGATGTTTGAGGAGTTTAAGAAAGCCATGCAAGGTGGCGAACCTAAAACGATCATTACAGATCAAGATGCGGCCATCACCAGAGCGATTTCAATAGCCTTCCCGACTACATTTCATCGGCTTTGCATATGGCACATCACATCAAAGTTCCATGTTAAGTTACCACATTCTGCTTATAAGGAGTATTGGCGTGAATTTCAGAAAGCCATATGGGATACTGACAATAAGGATGAGTTTGATGCAAAGTGGAATATTGTGGTTACAAAGGCTGGTTTCACTGACCATCAATGGCTAAGTTCAATGTTTGATTTAAGGGAATCTTGGGTTCCAGCCTACGCACGAGACTTTTTTGCCGCTGGAATGTCAAGCAGCCAAAGAGCGGAAGGTTCTCATGCTTTCTTCAAGCAATACATATCAAGGAGAAATTCGTTGATGGATTTCATAATACGATTTGAGAGGGCACTTTCCCATCAACGTCAAAAAGAGTTAGCTGCTGATCACGTAGATGCATTTGAAGTGGCTCAATGTATTCTACCAATGCCAATGAACAAACAAATGGCTACCTTGTACACAAGGGCAATGTTTCAAAAGTTTGAGAAAGAACTAATACAAAGGACAGCATGTTTCCTAGAGCTCAAAACAGAGGATGCTTCAAAAGTTGTCTTTAATGTGAGCGAAAGGAAAAATTGGCAAACAAGAGTGGCAGAAGTCGTATATGTCAAAGATTCTGACCACGCATCGTGTAGCTGCAAAAAATTTGAATTTGTTGGGATTATTTGCAAGCACATCCTAGCATTGTTCAGAAGGGACCAGACTGAATATATGCCCGATAAATATATTTTGAAAAGGTGGAAGAAAACT